ACCAACAGTCATTACTACACAACTTCCAACAAAAAATTGTCTTCAAATCCACTTTCACATTAAACCCATCAGTCCCTTTACCATCCATCTTGAACTCAAGAACAAATATCAGTCACCACTGTGGATGAAGGACCACCAGTGCAAAACTCTTCCGAACAAATCTATCATAAACATACTTATTATCCTCAGCACACCAACTTGAAATCCAAAATACTAAGACCAATATTATGACATGAGTCCCAAGATTTGAATAGAAAATTAATACCGACATGAACTAGCAACCAAAGTGTATGCACTAATTATTCTTATAACATTTGAATATGGACAGTATATAACATGGAGGATTAAAAGATACATAAGCACTGCCTACCTGTTTGTCCTAGTATGAGACGGTTGTTGAATCATTGAGGCAACCTGCAATTCTTGAGAAGAAACTATTTCCTCCGCAACAGAGGATCGAGCTGCAAATAACAAAGGAAATGTATGGGATACATTTGAAGATCGAACAATGTCAAAGGAAATGAATAGTCAATATGTAAGATAAGATATCATAATAGATTGATACCTTCAACTGAATTGTATTGAACTTCCCCCAGCGCAACAGCGATGCTTGAAGAACTCAATTCTTGTCTTTTCTGCATTCTCTCTTCTTCATCCTGAAGTTCCTGCTGCCTCATTCTAATTTTTGCTTCTATAACAAGTTACTCTTCCTGCAAATTTTAAATAGCAGAAAAGGATATATAATTCATTTTTTATCTAGTGAAAATCATAGGATTTAAAACCTCCACTGCTTTTGGAAAGAGAGTGTGAACTAACAATTTGCTCGATCCCTTTTTCCTCCTTTGTTTTCACACCTCGATACTCCACAGCATAGTTTGAGATTTTGCAGAAGGGACACCTCAAAATGTCAAGGAATGCAAACATTGGAATACAATTACATAGAAACAAATCAAATGAAATCTCTACAGGCAATTTCATTAATGGGAAGGATACTGGGTAGGATGGGTTGAATTTGGATTCTTCATTTGTAGAAAACACTCTGGCGCAAATAAAATCCGTCAAAATTTCATGCAACTAGCAATATCAATAAGTATTAGTTGGAAAATTCAGATAGTTTACCTGTGCATATACTTTTCATGCAACATCTCGATCTGTTGAGACTCGGGTAATACTAAAATAAAATGGGGGAAAATCATATTGAGGTAATCAAAAGGTATTACATTCAACCACAGCTAAATTTAAAAGATGACTACACATGAAAAATATTTAACAAAGAATTGGTAAACAAGTAGAGAGGGCATGATTCCAAATATGCAATGATCGATAAAATGGAAGGATGAAAGAGTATGAAATTACAGCTGGAGAGTTTTAACATAAGAGTAAACAAAACAAAATAAATACAAACCAAAAAGCAAATTGGGCATTCTTCGAGATCATAACAACACTCTTCATTGCCAGGATAACATGGAGCGAGCTTTGATTCAAGTATCAGCTTTCTCAGCTTCTTAGCATCCACATCTTTATGAACATAGAACCCTTGGGGGCGTGTATACCTCTCATCCACCACTTGTTTTCTCCTTCCCAACTTATTACCCATAAAAATTATCTCAAATATATGTTCCAAAAAATAATTTATTTCCCTCTTTTTCTCCTTCTACTTACAATTTGCTTGTTATTCTAATTCTACAAAATCGAAACCAACCAAAACAGCTAGGTATTTGGTTTTGATTGTTTGGATTACACAAAATAACAAACACATCTGAAACTAACGTACCATCTAAAACCCTAATTCAAAGTTTTACAACACAAAAGTCAATTGCACACGGGAAAATTGAATTATAATCGAAATAGAAAAGAGTTCAGTTCATGAAATCATGCCCCAATGCATCCTGCAAATGCAACAAATAAAAAGAGCTCAAATTTGAACGTAGATATCGAATTAATAGTTAAAACATGCTTCCGATTGCAAAATGTGAACTTACTAACCAAATATTCATATAAAAACCCTAAGTTTTGGATTATTATGAGAAATGAAGTTACCAAGTCCGATTTTTCACAATGCATTCAGTTCAGAAACATTTCGATGCCTATAATTCAAGTATTCAACCCAAAAAACATTTAACACTAAAACTGAGAAGGCAAGGTAAAATCATTTTCGAAAAAAATAGATAATTTAAATTCTGAAAGAAAAAACACGAAGTTAATCCCAGAAAAAGAAAAGATCGAACGAAAGAAAAGAAAACTTCAGTGAATAAAAAGTAATTTGAGAGGTTAAAAGAAAATTACTTTGAAATTTAATATCTTAGAAAAGCAAATTCAATTTATTTATATCATCATTTTCTTTCTTTATACATTTATACACGTCTTTTTTTTCATTTTTTAATATTTGAATATTTTAAATATTAAATTTAATATTCTTATTTTTGAGGGAACATATGATTAGTCTAGTGATAATTTTATTACTTTTAATAGTCAATGGATCCAACAAAACAATGTCTTATAGTTGAGGGACTATTTGTTTACTTTATTTTAAATTTAAAATATTTTTTATTTTTTAAAAAGTTAGATAAATCCTTAAATTTAAAAAAACTGATTTGATCATTGAATTCGACCGAAAAAAATAATTTAGTTCATCTATCACATCATCAATTATCATAGATCGTCATGTTAATATTGACACCATAAATTATCATATTAACATGGTAAATAATCACCTTAATAAAATATAATAATCATCTATAGAAAATATAGTAATTAAAAAGCATATTATTATTTTTAAATTGGAGGGTACATCGTTTAAAGAGGGAAATTAACAATATGGTAACCTTAATATATAAGAAATTGATGTGTTCAAAATTGTAAACTATATTAGATATCATCATATAAGTATTATATTATTTGTATTACTGAACTTTTAATTTTATTAATTATAATATTAAATTTTAATTTTCGTTTCAATTATACCATTAAATTATTAAATCGTTAGCGACATAATGATGTAATTATCGAATACCAATGTAAATACCTCACCAAAATGACATCGGTTTGATATGGTTGTTAATGATTTAACAACTCAATGATATAATTAAAACGAAAATAAAAAATTAATTTTATAATTAATAAAACTAAAAATTAAGTAATATAAACTATACAACACCTAAAACTCAATGTTACTCGATGTAGTTTACCCTAATAAAATTGTTTAAACAGATTGTTAGCAAATGCGAGATAGAGAGTCAAAGTCAGACCCACATGCGTGGCTCAACGAGGACTTCTAACATTTGGAGTAACGTGGCTATTTTTATCGCGACATGTAAACTATAAGTAAATAAATAATTCATGAATGATAGGTCAACACCTAATTGGATTTTTATTTAGTTGAAATAGAAATTATTAAATTATTAAATCTGGAGAAGGAAGATTATATGGACGTCTGTTTTTTTTAAACATTTCTTTGATATACATATATATATATATATATATATTAAAAAATTATTGAAAGTTTTAATAATAATTAATAAATTTTTATAGACGTGTATAAAATCTTTATATCAATAAATTTAAAAGATCATAATTATATACTAAGGTTCCGTTTGGCGTGATTTTCAAATCACTTTTAGCTGAAAAATCCGTTTTATCATAAAATCAATATCAAACAGGTAAAAAATAAAAAAATTTAAGATAAAAATAGTGGTTTTAAATAAATAAAAAAACTAGGATTTGTAGTTTTTTCATTTTCAACTTTGTATTTAGAGCAAATTATAATTTTACTCTTATTAATGTATAAGTTCAACTCAATTATGTAGTTACATTTTATTTTAATAATTTAATATTAACATTCTTAAAAAATAATTTATTACTTAATAATTTATTTTAATTATTTAAAAATAAATATAATTTAAATTCTATATTTAATATAATATAAATTCTATATTTAATATAATTTTTATGCAGAGATTTATTTGCAGGATTACTTCCCATTACAGACACGCATATGAAGACTGCATAAGAAGACTGTTCAACTATGTATTTATATATTTATTTATACATGCATTGTATTGTATCATTATTTTAAATTTTCTGACTGCCGGAAGTCTTCCACGGAAGCTGCTCTTAACCTGGCGTTGGGGGCAGCCTACTATACTACCTCCCCTTACCCCATCGCATATGAGAATAGGGTTTTGTTGTTATTGTTGTTGTTGTAACATCATTAAAAATAATTTATCATTTAATAATTTATTTTATATTTTTTTATTACAAAGTAGTATTTGTTCTAAATACTTTCAACCATTTGACATTGACCGCTCAATCACCCTACTGCAGTCACTGATGCTCGAACATATGAGTTCTAGGAACAACAACGATTTCTTTAACCATTGAGGTAAGTTTATTTGTGCTAATTTATTTTATATTTTTATTATAATTTAAGTGATATATTTTATATATTATGATATTAATAAGTGTAAATATAATTTAAATTTTATATATTTTTAATTTACAAAATAATGCTTATAATGAACATTTTATATTTTCAAACTCATGTTTTTAACAATAATCCCAAAAAATTAAATTTTAAACTGCACTTCTAAACAACACTTTTAGAAATCACTTTTTAAGTCGTTCTAAACCGGCCCTAAATAGATTAAGATTAGAGTTGTAAATAACATCTATTAATTTACATTTTCAATCAAATAATATCAAAAGAAAACTATTGAAGAAAAAGATTGTTAATATGAGTATTGATAAAGTTTAAGCGAAAGCAATTCCAGATGCGTTTTTGTATTGCTATGACTATTAATAGAGTTGAAGAGCAAACAATGCCAATAGTAGGAGTGTTTGATCAATGAGAGAATCAATGTTTTGGTCAAAGTGTTGAATTTGGATTATCAACTAAATAGTAAAAAAAAAAATAAAGGAAAAAAAAAGAAAAGAAAAAAGAAACCACAGGAAAAAGGAAACTTGGATTCTAAGAAACACTTAAAATCCAACTTTGACTAGGATTTGGAAAATGCAGAATATGTAATTTTAATGAGCTAAGCAGTTCAATGATAACTAATAGCTGATTTGTAAACGATAACTTGCCCGACCATCGCTACTAAGCATGATCGAAATCTTTTGATTGAAAACGAAATTAAATACTACGACAGAGAAAAATAATTTAAAGGAGAGTTTCCCCATCCTTCCACACAGCAAAGTTTCTCATCATTTGGAAGTCACCCAATTTCATACATGGCTCTTAAAATGCTCAGTTGATCAGTCAAGACGAGTAACTCGGGGCCTCACCGGTGTCTTCGAAGGACTCACCCTGATAGGCTGAGTTCCTAGCACCATGCCACTGCAATTCAGTGCAATTATGGCACTTTCCGCCTGTCCATGTAGGGGAAGAAAATTATCGGTCCAATTCAAGGCACAAAACATCATGCAGGATGAGTTATTAACTTGGGAACCAGTATTTTATCAACTGTCCCTATTATATATGTAAAAATCCATGCACAACTGCGTCGTGCTTTCTGCGGGCGATGATTCAAGCATGTACAACAGATTTAATGCAATAGTAGATGGATAATAACCTATCCTAGTTAAAAACAGGCTGTAATATGGGGAAAATAAGGTTCGGTGGCAAACAAACAATCAAACGAATAGACATCTATGGAAACGATATGCAATATTAACATTAATTATGGAAGAATCAATTGACTCACATAAGTCCTTTGTAAGCAAAAAGAACGAGAATACTTCTTGGAAATATCATCGACAACGGCATAAAATCAGTAAAAAAGATCAAAGAACAAAATCCCTTTCCTCAATTAGCTGATCTGGGGAAAAGTCAAAAGTGATTCATGAAAAAGCAAAACATAAATCGAACATACAATCAATCGTATCGCAATTACAGAGTTAAAATGTGTGATCAATAACTAAAGATTGTGGACTTAGTCGTACGATTGGGACAAGCCGTCAATACCAAATATAAAGAAAAATAAAGGTTACTCGAGAAAATTAAAATAAAATAAGGTCCCTTGAAAGACCAGGTAAGCTCTTTGGGTCAAGACGAGCACCATAATGTTGTATGGATAAATCAATACATAGAAAACTTGTTCCAAGAAGAGCTTGTGTTTTGATATAGACTTCATCATTTGCACAAACGGCTTGCAAAGAGACACCCATGACACATTATGAACAACATTACCAACATGAAAATATACCAAATCAAAGTCAGAAACATAGTTTTTAAATCACCATAAATATAATCTCAAAGGAGTTTCGAACCCAAATCTATTTCGAGATGAATCCTATAAACATGAACTCACCATAGCAAATTCAACAAAAGCAATACGAGTTGAATGGACTTGATCCCCTAAAAGCCTCAAGCGAGTGACCTGAGAATTAAATAGAATGCTGTCAGAATTCACCATAATCCCCTCTACCTTTGATCTTCTTTCTGAAAACAGTTTTCAGACAAGGAGTGCAAAGTTTTGATAGCGTACGGACCTGACCACAGGTTGATTCGAAGAAATTCTTCACTTCAGCTTGGGAAACCTTCAGCCAAAGTGGAAATGTTAATCGGATTAGATCAACAAAGTTACATTTATAATATACATGCTAGAGGAAGAGACAAGAACCGGTTACTTCAGTGACAAATGTCCGGAACTCAAGCATTCATGTAAGTAAACATGGAGGATTACCTTCTTGGCAATATTTGTACAATAGACCGTCCTGGTACACATTTCCCTTTCATCTTCCGACTGCCATCGTAGTAATTATACATATCAAAATAAGGCTCCAAACAAAACTATGGAGAGAGAAAACATCAAAAGCTATTTAATAACAATGAAACAGAATTGGATAAAGTGAAGCCTCATGCAAAACCGAGACAGCTAAGAGCCAGAACATTATTCATTCATACCCTAGGGAGAAATGTTGGGTTCACAGGAAGGATGGCAGTTTTTGATGGCAAGACCCTAACGGGATAAAACCCGAGCATGGTCCCATCAATGTTCAAAGCAGCTCCTGCACCTTCTGTGGAAACAGAGTTCATACAAAATGTGAAAAAATGTACATCGATTTTATAAAGAAAAGTTTTAAGTTCAGTCCATAGAAGCTGCTTGCCTTCATCTGCAAATTCCACAAATGCAAAGCGAAGAGCCGAATGTGGATTGCCACAAACTCGACAATCAACAACCTTCAATATTAAATTCCCAAACCACTTGAGAAATCTCATATATACAGTAATCTGTCACATAAGCTATCATATATACAATAACATCCTTTTTTTGAACTCAAGCAAAGTGGAGATACAGAGCAAAATATGAAGGGAAAATGATTTAAAAAGATTAAAAAAAATGGAAAACTCTAGTCTGTTGCGAGTACCACAGAAAGAGAAAGACAGAGACAGAGCTCTATAGACAGAAAATATGAAGTTTCACGACAATGCACCATTATCCAATAGTGAGTGAAATTACAAGAAAAGCTTTAAAGCCGTCATTATAACTTACTTGTCCACAATTACTAAATAAGCCGGCAAGTTGTTCTTCGGTAATCTAATACAAAGAAGGAAATGAATTTCACAAGGGAGTAATCCAAATCAGAATGAAACAACAAAGTGAGAATCACTAGGCAGTGTCATTTAAACTTACAGTCTGATCAATATCGGAAACATAAACTGTTCGCTTGATGCTATCATCTCTTTGAACTCGAAAAGCTCTACCATTAAGCCTTCTTCTACCCTGGTTGAGGTTATTTTTACTCTGGAAAACACAGCTATAATCATTTACCAAATATAACCGATGTAGAACTATAAACAAATCTAAGACGGTCATGCGTCGATAACTTGATATTAAGAATAATACCACATACGATGATGAGTGGAAGGAGCAAAGCCAACTCCAAATGCATCCAAGTTCCAACAAGTCAATCAAATTAATGATTAGATCATAATTAGGCTTATTAAAACCATCACAATCATAAATTCCAGCAAAATATAACAGTTTATCGATCAGAAGGGAGGAAAATCAGAAACCAATTCAAAATGCAGAGTTGAATAAGCACATAAACAGGAATCAAAAGGCCAATTTAACCTTTAGAACTACAAACCAAAGCAAACACTAAACCCTCAATTCGGCGATATAATCAAAATCATAACCCTCAAATAAAAACCAGTTTCCCACAAGAAGAAAAAAACACAAAAAATAGCAAACACCCATCATTCAAAAAAAAAAAAAAGTAAGCAAAAATGCAATTAGAAAATGTTGGTATTCAGTTGAAAGAAAATACCCTTTTGTTGGAGAAATTCTCATTCCCAGCTGATTGCTTTTTTACAGGAGTCGGATCAAAATTATCTGTTTTTTGGGTCTGATCATGATGATAAGATGATGGGAAAAATTCTTTGGCCAAAGGATTCAACTTGGTGAACATATCAACCAGCTTTTGCACATTGAATTCCTTTGATTCTAAGTTGGTTGTTTCCACTACCAAATCGTTGTTTTTAACAGCTTCCACAGCTTCACCTGAATTGTCAACAACTGCAGCCATTGAAAAAAAGGAAGAAGCCAAAACCCACCACGAAATTCTCTTTCTTTTAAAAAAGAAGAATGTCAATAATCACAAGAAATGGGAATTTTGCTTTTGGGAAATTATTCTATTCATTTCATCTTTCTTACTAGAGAGGAAGAAAGTTGAGAACTTCACATAGAAAATTTAAAATAAAAAACTTTTTTTTTATGATTATTGATGCCTAATAATAGACATCCTATTTGGAACAAAACAAATTTCTAGAAATGGAAATAAAATTGAAATGCAGACTGGGTTTCCTTTTTTGCTCCTTTCTGGATGTGTTTGAATCAAATGGTTAAATATCTCAAATTAAATAAAGAAAAAGAAAAGGAATTCAGGGTTTTGAAGGAACTGAAATGAGGATAAAAAAGAACAAAATAATAGGGAGGAGTAACAGTCTTTTTTGGGGGTTTTTTCACTTTTAATCATATCTTTGTTTATTGGATATTCTTAAATCAATAAATTAATTAATAATACTAATCTAAATATTAAAGTATAATCCAAAGATATATAATTTTGAACATTTTTGTCATTTTCTGTTCTAAACTTTTAATAATTAATTTTTCTAACTACTATTTTATATTTTTAAGATGAAAGTATTTGATATGTCATCATCAGAAAACTGCTATTTTTTGGATTTGTTGGGATTCGAAATCTTCAATATTTTCTCATTTTCGTTTTTTAGAATTAATTAGTTGACATAAAATCCGTCTACTGAATCTTAAAATCTACTAATAAATTATGTTTTATATAATTGTTAAAAAATCTTAACCGTTTTTTCTTAAAAATCATTTATCTTTTATTTCATTCATGTTGATAGATGATAATATTAATTTTTGTGTTTATCGTCGTTCTCGATATATATAAGTTTCCTTTTAATTTTTATATTACATCATTATTTATCTTTTGCTTTTTATTTTTAATGATTATGTTTTTATGTAACGTTTTCGATCGTTAGTTTATCTTTTTTTTCTCATAGTTGGATTTAAGATTTCCATAATTAATTAATAATCGAGATGACATGTTGATCATTTCTGGTTTGGATGCTGAGATTGGATTTGGATACACGTTTGTGTTAGTGAATAGTTTTTTTCACTTTTCTCTATTCATATTTGTGGTTTGTTAACGGTATTTCAAAAACTTTATTTTATTTTGTGGTTCATTTGTCGAGGTCGTCAGATTTGTTCATATGTTCTTTTGTTCGAGCTTTTTATTAGGTTTTAACTTTTTCCTTGTATAATAATTGTATAATATTATGTGACTAATTTTTGTGTTAATGATTTGGGAAAACGTCCTAATTATATGGTTATTTTATGTTTATGATCGTAAACATTTATTATAATTTTAGATATTTCATCTTTCTAATAAAATTATCTTCTTAATTTAAAATCTAAAAAAATAACTATTATACCTAAATTTTATATTCTAAATTTTAAAATTAAATCCTAAATTCAAAAGCTTTAAAATATAAATACGTCTGGCATTAATAAAAAAATTCAAGTAGAACACATGGTACCAAAATAAACAAATTTGTATAAACTATATTTTATATAATTTGTGTATTAGATAATTTTATTTATTTAATATATAGAATAAAAAATTATAAAATATTCTCAATTATTATTTATTGTTTGATTGTATTTTAGTGTTGGGTGTTATGTAATGAGAAAGTTTTGGTTTGTTTTACTATTTGGTTAATTTTTTTTAATTTTGTGTTATGTTAGCTTTAGAAAGGGGTAAAAGAATTTCAATGTTCCACCAACCTAATTTGTCTGCCTATCTCATAAAAAAAATTGAGGGGTTGTTTTTTTTGCCTCTTAATGGAATCATTTAGCGTTGAATGTTGAACCGTTCAGCGTTCAGAGCGTTTGTTTCGCACATCTGAATAATTCAATGCTGGCTGATTCAACTAAACAGTGTTAAATGATTCAACACAGAAGTACATTCTGAATGATTCAGAGCTATTATCAAACAAAATGTCACATTAAGAGCTAATTCATACATAGCATCTGAATTATTCAATATTTGAATCATTCAGCGCTTAATCATTCTGAAGTAAACAAACAACCCCTGACATAATAATTCGATTAAAAAACATAATGGAAATTTTTATTCCGTCTTTGATTCTTTAAATAATAAAGTGCATTAAAGAAGAATAATTAAATTATTTTAAAATATCCCAAAAGTTTATACATTTATTTTATTGGAATATCAGATAAATAGATATAATAATGATAAGATTTCTATTTTCATAATATTATTAATTATTTTAATTATATAAATTAATATTATTATATAATTAATGAAAACCATCTTTAATTTTTTTAATAATATTAACATGATATTTATTTGTGTGATGTAGTATTGTATAATTATTATTATTAGGCTTAAGAGTAACACTAATTGAGTATTAGGCCCCGTTGGATAATGATGTGCAAAAAGTTATAATTTCTAGTTTTTTCATTCTAACTTTACGTTTAAAAATAAATTTATATTTCTACCCATACTAATGCAAGAGTTTTACTCAATTACGTGTTTACATTTTATTTTAATAATTTAATACTAACATTCTTAAAAAATAACTTATTACTTTTAATAATTTAGTTTAGTTATTTAAAAAGTAAATAAAATACATGATTATTACTTCCAAATCGAGTTGAGTCGGTCGGACGGAGGCGCATGCTTGTGAAAGAGTTGTTTTACCACATTCACTAAGGGAGGGAAAGAGTTCCCTTTTAAATATCTTTCCAAAGGTATTTTTCTTCCGAATGTAGGATAAGTGCCCTTAACCCTTTAAGCACAACCAACATTCTCCCACAAAATACGAAAGAATTCTTTTGAAAAGAGAAAAGTTTCAAAAATTTAAAAAACGAGAGAAGAGCAATTGCGAGATGAGCTCATTAAGCACTAGTAAACATATTTGAAACTAGTATATAGTGATAATGAGAAATTCTTATCTTAGATAAATGAACAAATCTTGAACTTTATAAGATTAAGGTTGACTCAAAACACACAACTAATCTCCCCATCCATCAAAATTAGCCATCTTTCCTCGAGAGTATAGTAAGTGTATTATAAAAATGACCCAACGTTTTTCATAGAAGGTGGCTAATTATTCTCACTTACGTAGGTTATTTCATCAAGTTTATCTCAACACAAACCATCCAAATATAGGCTATAAAATAATTAAGAACCTTTTACAACATCTTAACCTCATAATAGGTAAGGTGAATTTCTTCAAGTTCATATTAAATGAATCACCCAAACTCTGGGATAAGAAATCATTAAGAATAAATATTCACAAATCAGTGAATTCAATATGTCCTTCTCACTAGGAACACCCAAACTCTTGGGTTTGAATTCATTAAGAGTTTTTAAGAAAAATCATTCTCTCTAGCAGTAAGTTCGCTTAGTCCTTCGTGATTAGGACTATCCCCTCAACACTAGATTGTGAACTTATTAAGAATAGATATTCAACCAAAAATCGATAAATTCATCAAGTCTTTCTCAATAAGACCACCCAATGCCCGGGTTATGAATTTATTATGAACAATTATGCTCATCATGTGTATGCGCATTGTTTATAATAGGGATAGGTAGGTAAATATACACTATGAGTCTTTCCATGGTTTCCTTTGATTTCATTGAACTTAGATAACTAAGTTCAATGAAATCCAACATAAATTCCTTAACTAATGGGCTTTAGACTAACCCCCTTGACGAATCCATAACCGACTCTCGACTTAACCCTTTGGTAAGCAGATCAACAAGGTTCTTCTCCGACTTCACATATTCTAAAGAGAGTACCATGTTCCTTACTAAATGTGTCACAGGTTCATGTCTAATGCGAATATGTTTCTTCTTACCATTATAAGCTTGGTTTTGCGCCACATATATTGCAACTTGTAACACCCTAATCTGATCCAAATCGAAGATCAAAGGACTAAGGCATTACATGGGAACACATAAGTGGCTGACCTAAAAATTTCTTCAAAACAATGGCAAATATCACATGAAAATTTATTTGGAATAGTTTTTAAAATAAAACATATCATTTAAGTTTACAAAATATGGGGAGCTCCCAAAGGTAAGTCTCCAAAATACATAAAAACTGAATAGAGTTATGACTCGAAATAATAAAAAGGGTCTATGACAATATATGCCCTCTAAAAAGACTCAAGACGTACTCTGAACTATATCTGATATAGAATGTGATTGCATAATAAGCTCCTCGTCGATCCTCCTACTAACATGTGCACGAAAACAAATTCCAACACTGAGCTCACATGTTTAGTGCCACACTAGTAACTATTTTATACTACATGCATTCATTACATAAATATGCTGAAAAGTAAGGACATATCATTACAGAAGTATTGAGAAACATGATGAGGTAGGTCTGGTGCGGTCGAAGGAATTTTCTGCATCTCATGACAACACCCTAACTACCAAGGATACCCTCGAGTATTGGATTGAGATCCGTAATTTTCTACATTGGTAACATACACCTAGGGAACTTACTCCGTCATGTCTTAGGGCATCTACACCTAGTCGGCATCTAAAGTGTCTTAGCTCTAGCTGAGATATATCCAAATATTTTTAACGAACAACGATGATCAATTTCTAAAGTATCTTAGGAGTCCTGGTTGTTTCCCGAACGTCATACAAAGACTAGTTTTATGTCATCCTAATGTACTCCATATCTAGATGTGTTTGTATTTATTATTGTTGTTCTTACTAGTAGTCTTATTTATAAAGTTTTGGTGACCCTTAATATCTCTACCCAAACGTCTGAATTTGAAATGGGTTTTTTGCCTAAGTCATGACGAGGGTGTCGGTACTCTAAACTAGAGTATCAATATTTTCACACTGGGGTATTGTAACCCCCTAGATCTGACCTATGCGTTACAACCAGATCTAGTGGATTGCGATAACATTTTCCAAAACATTTTTCAATAATGTAAAACCATATTACGAATAAATATCTTTAAAAATATAATTGATAACATTAAAATTCAATTCCAAATAATTAAAGTCATAAAATTGAATAAAATAAAATATTTCAATATTTTCAAAATATAGGCACACGTCACCTAAATAAAGGCAAATCGGAAGATAAAAACATACAACAAAAGGTACAGTATGAATGTGTCGATCCTCCAAGTTCTAGATATGGGTCGCCTATAAAATAGTATCTGAAAGAGAGAAATTTGGGGGAGTGGCCTAGGGAGCTCAGTGTTTTCCAACAGTGCAGAAATAAAACATACAATTTAGATTTTAAAACCAGTTCATCAATAAAGTCATCAAACATTGGTAAATTTTCCAAAATCAGTTCTCTTCCAACTTGTGAAAACTTCAGTAGTGTTTTTAGCTTAAAAAATACAGAATCACCCT